AGTTGTGAGCTCTAGCTTCACATCAAGCTCTGTGCTGTGGGCGCAGAGCCTACTTGAGATTCTCCCTCTCCCTCCCTCTCTCTGCCCCTCTCCACTGCACACACAAGCACTCTCTCTCTCTCAAAACAAATAAATGAACATAAAAAAAAATCGGAAGCAAATAATACTAAAACTGATAGGGGTTTTTTGAAGGTTATTCGTACTTATAAAACAATTAGAGCAATATGCCGTGTGGAGTAAATACATGCTCAATAAACATGAGTTATTATTGAAAAAAACTCAAAAGTATTTACTGCAGGAAATAATTTATTAGTATATAATGGAAATTTAGCATGCTAATGAGTTATTTCTGGCATGTAGACTTAAAACATGTCTGAAAATAATCCAGCCACCTTCACTCAGCAATACTGAACAAACTTTTAAGACACGACATTTTTAACACTCTTCCAACTAATCATGTAACTCCAGGTTTGCAGTTATACAAACACTGAAAGGGATTTTTAAATGGATATCTGCAAATGTAATCAGCACCCTATGTTCACACTATTTACTCTGGAACAGACTGAATCCCATATAAACCCCACAAGGAGTGTTGCAGAAGGAAGATAAACAATATTTGAGGATGCAGAGATGAAATAAAGAAAGAGGAGAAAATAATTACACCCATTTTACAATTCCTATGAACTCCTGGAGGCACAGGCAGCACAATCTTCAGATTTTTCAAAAGACCTGGATTCACAATGGGCACAAACTAGATAAACAAGGGATCCCCTTCCTCACTAGGCAATCCAATTAACTTGCAGTTAGAACATTTACACTGACAAAGGATTATTTTAACACATCTCTAAACAGGTGATGCTTTTGTTCCTTGAAAACCTCAGTGTTCAGTAATATATTTTTAAATGTCTGCAAGGACCCCCACATTGCCTAAACAGTACATCAAATTTCTAATGTATAAATTTGGTTTCTTTTTGAAGTTCCTGAGGGGGTCAGAGAAAAATACTGAAAAATATTGTTTTGAATCAGTGCATAGTTTGACTACTCATATCTGTGCTTCTTGTGATCTGTGCTGATAATCTGTGATAATCTCAACTCTCATTATTCAAACTGTTGCGTCCCCCAATCATACCAGATTTTACCAAACAGGGCCTGCCCTCTTCTCATTATTAACGGTCAACCCAGAGTGACTCTTTCAGAAGGTAATTATCTATACAACTAGTCTGGCTATCAAGAAAAGGCAAATAGCTAGAGCAAACCTATTTTAAACTGTGAATGCATTTTCTCCCAGAAACACTTAACTAAAGACATACTCCTCGTTTTTCCAGGATCACCATGGTAACCACATTTTTTTTTTTTTTTAATAGAAAACTACCTCACATGTATTTAGCATCATGGAAACCACGATCTTATACACAGGTGGGAAAGGCACTCTCTATCTGGCCACGTAAGGAATTCCCACTTCAGTGGCAGCACCACATACCTGTGAGGGCCCAGGTGTCTCACTCTCTTAAAATGACCAATCCCTTTACATCCTGGGGTTGAACATCCGCCATGTTCTGAAGCTTCCATTAATTCTAAGGAGCCTATAAGAAAGCAAGGGGAAGAAAAAGCGAGAAGAGAAAGGAAGGGGCATAAAGTTAACCAAAGGCTGTGAAACGAAAATTACAAATATCTTAAAAGTCTTTAAAGATTTTTCCCTATGCTTTTGTTCACACTATTGATCTTTCTTCAACAGCGAAATGGTACACTTTGATCTAACCCTCTTTCAAGGCTATAAATTCCAGAAATACCTAATTGTGAATTAATGAGGAGATGCTAAACGATCTTCAAGTAAATAACATAATTAGTTTACGAATACTTGTACACTGAAAATTTCAAACATGCTACCCCCTCCGTGTTTTATAATGCTCCCTTATGCTGACCACTTATGTCCCTGTGTAATGTGCTAGACTCTGTTCTAAGCATTCCCATATATACCTCTATGAATATATATATACACATGTATCAAGTCTTTGGTCTTGTATCATTTTGTCGCATACAAGGGATAGCACCAATGTGCACTATTCTGAAACATTTTTTTCTTTGGTCTTTAACTTCATGTCTTAAAAATCTTTCCATCTCAATGATAATATTCTTTATGATTGTTGCACAGTGTCTGTATCATGAGTGCACCAGAATTTAACTAATCTTTGTTTCCAAGGTTTGTTATTTTAAATATACTGCAACAAACAGCATGCATGTGGATTTCTTTACTTTTATGCAGCTTGTACATGAACCTGGAAACAACTGAAGCCACTAAAACAGGGGACTGCACACTAAACTTTTAAAAACCCCACGATAATCTACTGTAGTTTCTACATATTTTCTGCTACAATGTATATGCTTTCCTTCAAAGTTGAAATCATAGTATGTCAAATTCCCAGTGCACATTTAAAAAAAAAAATTGAACTTAAAGGGACTCTGCAATGAGGTTACTGTAAATCACATGCAGTTTTAAGCAACAATAGATAGGGAGAGCCCTTTTACACTCTGTCCAGTTTCTCCCAATGGTAACATTTTGCAAAACTACAGTATAAAGCCACTCACTACTGATACATTAGACTTTAATAGCCTAAGAGAACTGTCTTCCAAAAATTCAGTACCAATTTTGAAAGGTGATGAGTCCTTCTAAATAAAAGTTTAAAAATCTACATAAACTGTGCTTTTCAAACATTATTTTTTTTTCTTTTATGTTTTTGTGACTACCACATAATGGAAAATGTGGGAAGAACAGGATTCATGGAGAACAAACGTACAGGAGAGAAAACAGTAGAAAGAAAATGATAGGAGCAAAGAAAATATTAAGCACCCTACATAAGAAAATGGAAACATTCAATTTAAGTTATCCTTGCGTCTCTTACTCAAAGGAGGCTGAAGAGGATGCCCGGTTTTTGAACACCAGCCCACAGGGTGAATATCAGGGCAATCCGCATCTACCCAGTAATCATAGCAGCTGTTCCAGCCGTCAAAGTGAACCTGGAAACAAAAGGAAATTACCAGTACAATTCATAGAAAATTCCTACCATTAAAGTTCTAGCCACCATATAACCATTTTTATTTTCTTCTAAAGTATGTAGATTCAATACCAAATAACATTTTTTTAAAATTTATTTAAATTGCTTCATTTCCCCTATGCCAAAAAAGGGACTTTCGACCTATCTTCAAATGATCTGTTCATCAATAAATGTCTTGCCAAAGACATCATTCCAGCGGTACTTTTATAGATATGTGTGTCTTCCAACACACACACACGAGTTATGAGTACATAACGTCTTCATATGAGCCACACCAAAGAGCCAATAAATATTACTTAAGTAACGAATAAATCAGGAAGGGAGGGAGGATGGGAGTGGAGAGGAGAAAGGCAGGAGTACCTTTCACTTAAATGTCAACTCTCCCAGAATTATGCTAAAAAGGCTG